TTCCCAGCAATCTGTAATGAGAAAGACAGAAATAAAAGCTACAATGAAGAGAAAAAATACTATTCTCAGCTTTTTTATAGAATCTTTCCTGTTCTCTGTTAAAAAAAGAGTAAAATATATGAGAGTTCTTGCTTTTTGGCTGAAACGACATTCATTAGCTTGAAAAAATCACAACTTACTCCTTGTGTTTTGCACAAACATTATGACTCAATTCAATAAATTATTAAATGTTAAATTATCATTAAAGCATAAATAGATTTTTTCCCCCTTAAGAGACAAATGAAAGACTATTCTAACATAAAACCATGAAATCTTGAAGGAAATGAAAGATTCATATTGAAAAATTGGAGATGGAGCTTGAGGAACTCCTATTCGAGGAATTGGCCTAAAGTTTGGAGCTTTTTACCAGCATTTGGTATATAGAATCTGATATAAGAAACTTGAAAAACAATTATGAGTTTGAAAAACTTTGATTATTTCGATGGTTTCCAAAATTTTGATGTTTGTTATTAAATAAGAACTGTACGATGTTGTCCCTTGTATTTTCTTTTCAAACTATCTAAAAAAAATCAAAAGTTACAAATCCACATTGACATTTTTCAAATGTCTAAATTAGATTTGTTTGTATGAGATTTCAGTCAAGTTTCTCCGAACTCCTATCAAGATATTTCAATTTACAAATTCAAGCTCTCTGCTTATACTTCCATTTTATTTAAAACTCCTATCAAGATTTCAATTTACAAATTCAAGCTTTCTGCTTATACTTCCATTTTATTTAAAATTTTGTTTTTCTTTTCTAGAAGAGTTTATTGTGTGTGATATGGAGAAAAAAATTATTTTGTCTTTTAATAGTGCTTTAATGTGTATTTTTGGGAATTGAGCTGTAATATTTGTTAAAATCACAAAGGGCTCGATCGTAAGTTTTTTAAACTAATAGACTTAGTTGTACTTAGACCAAAACCTAAAGATTTTCTGTACCCAAAAAGCTACTCTTTTCTTTTTAGTTGCTTGCCTAAACCACTTTGATTACTTGAATTTTTCCTTTTTATTTCTTGAAATTGTCGACTTTTCCCGAGTTAAAATAAAAATATGTTAGTTTCTGCATTTCTCATCCTTGTTTTTCCTTTTTTTTTTGGATTGTTCATTCTCTTAAAGAATAGCAAGTGAATTGTTCGAAGCCCTAGGAGAGAAAAAAATGAGGTATGCATCAAATAAGGCCTCTCGTCCAGCATATCTGCTGTAGTTCTAGGACCATCAACATTAGGCGACTTCTTTGCAATAAGTCCGATCACAATGTGTCAGCCAGTTACTGACATGTGAGTAGTGTGCGTCAACTACAGTTGTCATCAACAATGAAATTCAACGTTGTCTTGATCAGCCATAGGTTTTATTTTGCCTTTTGCAGTTGAATTGTGGTTTTGGTCATCCAAAATTTGGGAGTTTTGGAAATGCTTTTTGAAGTCTATGCTGCTGCTAATGTTCCTTCCTCTTTACTCTCTCTCCAAGAGCCAAGGGCCAAGTGCGCTAAGGTCCTACTTGTCAGCCTACGGCTGGCCGTAGTGGCCGACCTAGGCTGAAAACTGAGTCATGTTTGATGGCCGAAGGTTTCTGTCCATCCAAAATAGGTCATATGATTTGGTTTGTATTGGGAGAAATCTGGATGGTTTGGGAATTAGTGAAAATGGTGCTGGGTTTAGGAGGTCGATTTTCCTGAATAAGGAGGAGTTCGAATGGGTATTGGAATCATTAGAGGACTTTTGCCGGAACTGGCAAGGTGGAAAGTGGGCTAGGCATTTGGTGTGCAGCAGTTACGACTTATGGATATCCTACAGAAGTAACAAAAGAGGGGAGTACGTTGTTTTGTCTGTCCAATAGAAGGAAGAGGCAAAAAGAATATTTTTTCCTGGGGGAGATCAGGGAAAAGAGTGGTGGAAACTGATGGTTGCGGCCTTTGAACTCGCAAACAGAAGGGTGCGTGCATCAATGGCTCAGTTGAATAATGGAGTGGAGGTGGTGGACACTTAATCTCATCACACCACTTCATGGAACGCGATTGTTAATATCCTTACTGTGCGGGACGTATTTGTTTCATCGGGATGTTTGGTGTTGCACAGACTTACGCGGCGGTGATGCAAAGGAAGATTGCAAAAGGGAATCGGTTAGGGCAGAAGAGTGTGGCAGGTATGGGGACCTGGTTTAGTAAAAAACAACCTGAGAAGACAAAGGCCCAATTTGCAAATTTCAGTCAGCACAATGACCCAAGAAAAAAGATGGAGTTTCCTTTGGGCTAAGCGTCGAATACGAAAGTTGGGCCATATGAGAAAAAAAGGTTCACATGGATGGAAAAAGAAAAATGGCCAGCTGGGCCAGGGTCAATGGGTTTAAACGGGTTGGATGGCGGCTCAAAAGGCAAAAATAATTTTAACCCGACCTGGGACGAGTCTTTGAGATTAAAAGATGAGTGATCCGGTTTGTCAAAAACGGAAGCAAAGGAAAAAGTATTTTCGGAGACTGGAACCCTAGATCCTTGGCTGGTGGTAGGTACGAAAGATGAGAAGGTGCTAATGTCAGGGCAGTGCGGATGCAAAATCGAGTGAAGATGAAGAAGAGAAGTTTGACGACGTGCTTTCCCATGTAGAGGAGCCTGAAAGAGAAGAGGAGGTCGAAGGTCAATGTCAGGCGATGGTTATGTATGAAGACGAAGAGCAAATCATGGAGATTGTTCCATTGGTGGATCCTGAAGTTGAAGAAATTCTTGCTTTGAGCTTAGATGGAATTGAAATCGAGAAGGGGATCACGACGGGGTGTTCACAGTGGGTGTCTCAAAATATTCAGAAGTTCAGTAAAGTTATGGGGACCTCTATGGAAGGTATGGAAGCTCAAGCCTTTCTATTTTTTCCTGAGATAGAAAAGAGGAGAAATGAAAAAAAGAAAATGAGTATTATACTGTTGAAAGAAAAGAAAAAATATGTTGAGGGTACTCCAAGAGCATTAAAAAGATTTGAATCAACAGTAAACTATGAAGGGAAGAGGAAGGGGGTGAAGAGTCTGGGAGGGAAAAAAAACCTATTAATTTTATGATTGGTAAAATAATTTTTTGGAATGTGAAGGGTGTTGATAATCGAGGCAAGAGACTGATTATTAGAGGTTGTTTGGCAAAATGGAAGTCGGATATTGTTTGTTTGTAGGAGTCAAAAGTGGAACAATGTTTGGATGAGACTATTCACAGCATGTGGAGGGTAAAAGAGGTTGGTTGGCATTGTATCCTGGCGGTTGGTACGGCTGGTGGTATTATCCTCATGTGGAATGAGAAAATGTGAATGTTTAGAGGTGATTAAAGGGGAAACTACTATATTATGTTTATTTAAGAGTAATAATTCTAATTGTGAATGGGCTTTCACTGGTGTGTACTGCCAAGGCAATAATGAGGAGAGGGAGAAGTTAAGGAAGGAACTTGAAGCAAATAGGAGGAAATGTGGTGATTTCTGGATTGTTGGGTGGAATTTCAACATGACACTAAGTGGAGAGGACAGAAACAACAGTAACATGAGGATGTCTGATGCTGTCCAGTTTAGGGAGTTGGTGGATAAACTGGAATTAGTTGATCTCCTTCTTTCTTGTGGAAAATGGACATGGACAAATTTGAGGGTCCAACCTGTATGTTCCAGAATTGATAGATTCCTGGTTACCCCTGCTTTTTTGGCACAATTACCAGGAGTTATTCAGAAGACACTTCAAAGGCCCACGTCTGATCATTGTCCTATCTGCCTTCATACGGATGGGATCCAATGGGGGCCTATTCCTTTCCGTTTTGACAATAAATGGTTATCGAACATGAAATTTGTTACGTTGATTGAAGAAGTTTGGAAGAATACTGTTATTCATGGCAATGCAAGTTTTAGATTGGTTAGAAAATTGAAGGAGGTTAAGAATGTGATCAAGGTGTGGACCAAGGAAGAAAAATTAAAGGAGGGGGAGGCATTCAATAGTATTGTGCAAGAAATTAATGAGATTGATCTGATGGAGGGGGAAGGTGTGTTGGATGAGATTATGTCTGGGAAGAGAAATAATTTGAAATTAGACCTAGCAAACCTATGCAAAGCCGAGGAGACTTCTTGGAAACAAAAGTCTAGAGAGAGGTGGGTTAAGAAAGGAGACCGTAACACGGAGTACTTTCATATAATGGCCAGCAATGAGAGAAGAAGCAATTATATACCTGAAATCTTGGTTGGTGGCAGCAAAGTCACTGGAAATACAGAGATTAGAAAAGGCTGCCAAA